ACGACAGACTACAGACTACGACAGACTAAAACAGACTAAAACAGACTAAAACAGACTACGACAGTCTAAGACAGTCTAAGACAGTCTAAGACACAGATTTTTAAAAATAAAGTTAACCCTTAAGGGCAAAAAAAAAAATACAGACAGTAAAAATGCACTGTCTGTAACAGATCTGGCAGGGAAGGGGTTAAAATAGGATTTTAATTAACTGAAGATACTTTTTATTTTTCACAGGAACAGCTGCTGCAACAAACTATCAGGATCTCTGTCTCTCTGCTCTCACAAAACGCTACAGAGAGGAGAGAGGCAGAGATCAGTGTCAAAGTGAGTGTTTGTAACACCCACTTTGACACCAGCCAATTGTGAGCGATCGCGGATCGTTCACACGCCGTAATTGGCTGTTACTATCTGCCTGGGATGCCGGGCAGATAGTAACAACGGGATTTCGGCGGAAGCGATCTCTGATCGCTCCCGCCGCCCGTTTTCCGTTAGGACGGTTCAGGACCGTCCTCGGTCGGCAACGCAAAAATGCCGAGGACGGTCCTGAACCGTCATGCGTCCTTAAGGGGTTAATGTAATGTGTCTTACCTGGTGTATTTTAACAGTAATGCTTGTTTTGTGTCCCCATGTGCATAATGGAGTCTTGTCTCTGACATGTCTGTGTTTTATGTATAAAATGGGACTTTGTGTATTGTACAGTATTTTAATGCTTTGTGCAAACCATGTGCATAATGGAGTCTTGTCTCTGTCCTGGGAGATAATTTAATTACTTCTCAATTATCTCCTGGGCAGAGGAGAGGAAGCCAGGATGCATTGTGGTAAAAAGGAAGGGGTAATTGGGTTACCTCTCAGGATAAGGGGGAGGGAATCTGTGGGTTGTAACTAATGTGTTACTGGATATTTTATACCTCCCTGTGGGCGGTCCTGTATTTGCAAGACTGTAATAAAAACCAGGCTGGGTGTGCCAGCACCTCAGACCACTGATTGACCCTCAACACAGAGCCTTGTCTCGTTCTTGGGGGGATTCACTGTATGCTGTTGGAGACTGATTGCCAGGAGTGTAAGCCGCTTGGGAGCTTTTCCTGTTCGTCTGCTAGCAGCTATTTGGGAGGTTCCAGTTCGGGAGTTGGAGTGCTATTTTGTATCCAGTTCGGGAGTTTGGTGTTCTGCAGTAGCTGTGCCTGTATCTCTGGAAAGGGGGCCGATCGCCTAAACGTTTTTTCCCCTTTTTTGCAAAACGGTCCGTTACAGGAGCTATCTACTAAATACATAAACATACACATTTATATATATACACACACACACACACACACACACACACACAATAACACAAAATATGTATGTCTGTGTGTTTATATCTGTGTACACACACACACACACACATATCTATATATATATATATATATATACATATATATATATATATATATATATAGGATAGTTAATACAATGCTAAACAAAAATCTGCACACCAGTCAAGCCATAAGACTTGCTTTTCCCACAGAAATCCCAAATCAGCAGTGATGTTACAACCGCTAAGGATTCTGGGTGGGCATATGCAAATTAGTTTAACAAAGAATCACATTTTTGCCTCATTCCATTTTAAACATGGATTCCTTTTAATTTGTGTTTGCAGTATACAACTGCTTGGAACGCAATTTAGGATAAGATGCAAAACCAGTGAACCACTCATGGACAGCTGTTTCGTTGTTAATGCAACTCTTCAGCATGAGGTTGGTTACTGGTTTGCTAAGTGAGGCTTGGTAGTGCTTGGGAAGCAAAATCCAAAAAGGTTATGGTGGGGAAAAATTGTGATTGAAAACCCCTTCCACCTGAAGTATGTGGATAGTTAATACAATGCTAAACAAAAATCTGCACACCAGTCAAGCCATAAGACTTGCTTTTCCCACAGAAATCCAAAATCAGCAGTGATGTGACTGGTGTGCAGATTTTTGTTTAGCATTGTATTAACTATCCACATACTTCAGGTGGAAGGGGTTTTCAATCACAATTTTTCCCCACCATAACCTTTTTGGATTTTGCTTCCCAAGCACTACCAAGCCTCACTAAGCAAACCAGTAACCAACCTCATGCTGAAGAGTTGCATTAACAACGAAACAGCTGTCCATGAGTGGTTCACTGGTTTTGCATCTTATCCTAAATTGTGTTCCAAGCAGTTGTATACTGCAAACACAAATTAAAAGGAATCCATGTTTAAAATGGAATGAGGCAAAAATGTGATTCTTTGTTAAACTAATTTGCATATGCCCACCCAGAATCCTTTGCGGTTGTAACATCACTGCTGATTTGGGATTTCTGTGGGAAAAGCAAGTCTTATGGCTTGACTGGTGTGCAGATTTTTGTTTAGCATTGTATTAACTATCCACATACTTCAGGTGGAAGGGGTTTTCAATCACAATTTTTCCCCACCATAACCTTTTTTATATATATATATATATATATATAGGCATAAACCCACATAACTACACACATACACACACACAATCATAGACCTACACACACAATCACATACATAAGCACACATAATCACAACACACTTTTTTTTATTATTATTGCCATTTATATAGCGGCAACAGATTCTGTAGCATTTTAACCACAGACATACACACACACACACACACACACACACACAATCACACACATAATCACAGACATACACAAACAAAATCACAGACACACAATCACATACACACATAATTAGAC